AGAGCTCCCCGTTGGACACCTCGGCTCCAGAGGAAGTGTCTCTCCCGCCGGCGTTCGGCGTTCGTGGATAGGGCACCGGCAGTCTGCTCACAGTGTGTGCTCAGGAGACTGCTTATTTGCTTCGTTGGTCTAACTTTGGTTTTTCCCTTTGCAGTCACTGGACTTAGCCACAATCAAGTGACTGGCACAGGTACTGAGCAGAGGACTTCCAGCGACCACACGGACCACACCTATGTCTTGTCTACTTTCACCAAAGGAGAGCGAGCACTGCTGTCCATCACGGACAACAGCTCATCTTCAGAGACGAGAGAGAGTTCAACCTCTTCTGTGAAGGTCTCAGGCTCCCCACGTTCAGACTACCCTTCCCCTTCTCAGGTTCAGACTGAAGGAAGTAACGCCTCATCCTACGGAGGGGTGTATGCCCAGTCTCCCACGGAGCCGCTGGGTCTGCGTACAGCCAGCCAGCCACCCTACACACCCACCGCTAAAATGTCAGGCACCGTGGGTCTCCTGGACGCGCATGCCGGATCGGTCGGTGGCTCATCTTCTTCATCAGGGCCCCCTTTGCCCCTGCCCTCAGTGTCACAGTCCCACCAGCCGTTCTCCTCAAACTTATCCCCCAGGGCCTCCGCTCCTCCCCTGGAGGCCACCCCTGAAGCGCCCACACCTTCGCCCTCCTCGCCACCACCTTCGCCCATATCCCTGACAGCCTCTACCCCTGCCTCACTGTCCCTGACCCAGACAACCCTACCACCTTCATCTTCTACCTTGGTCCTGCCCCGGGCAGGGGGCACTCCTGTGACAGCAGTCCGGATGTCGACACTGGCATCGTCTGTGGTGATGCTCCCCGGCAGTCAGACAGCAGATCCTAAGGACCAGAGCAGCCCACACCACGAAAAAATGGTCACGGAATCAAAGCCACTGAGCCGGGAGTCTCCGCCTACAGAGGTCACCGAAGCTGCAACTGTGAGCCCTGCTTCGGGGATCCGTGTGTCCCCTGCCTTAACAGAGTTCTCCACTGAGCAGACCCTTCCAGCCACAACCACCGGCTTAGCCCAGACGCCTCCAGCTTTGACAGCCACCACTCTCAAGGCCCCCCAGCCCCCCGCGCCCACTCCCAGCCCCACGTCAAGCACAGCGACTCTGACGGCTGGCCCCACCGCAGTCCAGACTACGGCTGGAAAACAGTTCCTGACGACCACTCCTGAAATTCTGGTGCCACGAATCTCAACAGAAGTTGTTACCACAAAAAGAAACCAAGTTCATATAGATAATACCACCCGATTAAGCCCCCTGACCAGTGCACCCACATCAGCAGAAGTATTGACCACGGGGCCTGGCATTCCAGAAGAGTCCAGCCCAGCTTCACATTTCCCCAGAACATCTCCTCCCCAAGGCTCACACGTTTCTCCGGCTGAAGTGCTGACTCCCAAACCTACCGCCTTCCGCGCTCAGAGCAGCACACGGTCACCCACGACGTCGTCGTCTCCAGCCCCAGGTAGAGTGCAGTCTCACAGGCATCCTGAAAGCTGCTGGGGCGGGGGTTCGTGTGTATGTGGGCCAGTGGTTGGTACCTGCAGTAGTGCAGTGTGTGTTTGATGATCTGAAATGTTTCCTGTAGAAGCACTTAAAGCATAAAATAATGTCACGGTGGACCTACTTTCCTCACCCCTGAGTTACATAATTCTTCTCGAAGAGAGGGGAGAGGATGCCATTGGCTGTGTGTGACATCAGTAGATGGTGTAATTGTAGCCTGTAATGCCCCGTAATTGCAAGAGCTTTTCATGCATGCCTTTAACTCCTCCGTGGCCAGAGTGGGCAGCAACATAGGACAGGAGGGTACAGAAGATTCAGGTGGCCTGGCTGGGACATGGAGTGAGTAGGTGACTGCTCCCAGACCAGGGCCCCAAGTTTCTGGGTCAGTCAGGCGGCTCCACAGTCACCAGAGAGGCTTTCTTGGTCCAGGGGAAGCCCAGGCCCCTTTGTCTCCCTCAGATTATGTTGCTAGTTGATAAACATGGGGTGGGGGGGGGGATAGGTGGTCATGTTCAATCGGGAGACGATGAACTAATCTTTCCCCATAGCGGCTGCACTGTGCCTGAGGTTATCTTTAAGCCCACGTTGGCGTTCCTGGCACACACGTGGTTCTTTATCATGTAAGGAGAGGTGGAAATGAGACCATCTGTCTTTTGATGTCGTGTTTGAAATGGTACATTTAGCTTGTCCAGACCCAGGAAAGGAAAAACGCTAGTGGTTATGGGGTACAGCGGAGATTGACATCTTAAGGAAAAAGAAAAGACGAGAAATGCTTTATCGCGACTGGAGTAGGGAGCTCAGTTAGTGGCAGAGTTCCGCCTCGTCAGCCATCAGCAGGCTGGCGGATGGGGGGGCCATATTTCTGCCCCGCCAGCCCCACAGTGCCAGATGCGTCAGTGCCCCTTTGTACCAGTGATCCCAGCACTTCTGGGAAATTGAAAGCTGGGTCCTTCACCTGAGAAGTGTGGGGTCCCTGCTTCAGACTTCACAGGGCTTCATTTCCAGCGGCCAGATATACAAAGCTCCCTTCAAGCTGATGACGGCCATTGCACTGGTCACTGTGAGCGGGTATTAGGAACGTCGTGACTGGCTGGTAATATATCATGCGGCAGGATCCCTGGGTTCGGTGTTTGGATATATAGCTGCTGTGCCTAGACGGCTGGATTAGGTATATTAAAGCAGCAGTGAGGAGTAGGAGCACCATCTTCAGGTTTAGCCCATTGGTTTTCAGGGTTATTCTTTTGGAGTTAGAACCCTTGACTTTTGGTCCTCCTACCACCGATTTTCTCCTTGGAGACGCTGCAGTTATTTTGTGGGCTTCGGCTTTTCTCAGTATGTGTCAGAAACCTTTACTAGGCAGTTGTTGAGTAACTGGAGCGTGACAAGGCGGGTTACACAGGCCGAAATAGAGCGCTGTGGTCACTGCCCTTGGGAGCTGGGAGTCCGAGATGACGCTGAAACCAGTACATCACCGAGGCCCAGGTGAATCCTGTGGGGCTCCTCATTACGTACGTAAAGAGAAGGCGTTGTAGTGCTCACCTCCAGTGAGTTTTCTGAATGATTGCCCAACATGTGGAGGCCCACGTACTGTTACATTCTGAGATTTTCAGATAAAGGGAAATCTTGCAGCAGGAGGATGGTTAATCGGGGATCCTTTTCTGCTTAATAGGTGTCTTAACTGGGCATCAATTCAAGTAGAATTTCCTAAGTGTCACAAAGTCAGTATAATTGTCCATCCTGAGCGGAGTGATCTATGGGCAGCGTTTGGATTTGAACCAGTTCTTGCACTCAGGGACCCAGCTGTCTGACGCTGTGTCATTCCACCAGCAAGCACCGGAATCCAGGCCCACCGCCTCTCTGCTGCCCCTCTCGGGAGTCCATTCCGTTTGGGTAGTGCGGCCTTTCAGGGCAAGTAAACAGAAATAAGCGAGAATCAAATATTAGCCAGGAGAATTAAATATTTACCTTGAGCTGCCTTTACATTTCGCGTGTGGTTAACTGCTTTATTCCTGGAATGTGTTTTTAGTGAACAGCTGTGCCCCTAACCCTTGTCTTCACGATGGGAAATGCGTTGTGGACCCCACCCGCCGTGGGTATCGATGCGTGTGCTCGCCTTCCTGGCAAGGGGATGACTGCAGCGTGGGTAAGAGGAAAAGTCATCTCCAGTCGTCTACAGGACAATATGCACCTCGAGATAGGCAGCAAACTCCTTTTTCTCCAAAATGCAGGGGAGAAAGATTTTTAAATTAATGCCCTGCTTACTTGAGAGTTAGCATGCTCATTGTTGTCTGCAGAATAATGTCAGGCAGTGAGGCTGACGAGTTGCCACGATCTGGCTTCATTTTGTGGGCTCCCTCCACTCCTGCCACACTGGGCCACCCACAGCTCCCCAAAGACCCCTCTGCTTTCCCGTCCTGGCCTTCACTGTGCTGGTGCCTCAGCCTAGAATCCCGCCTGCCCCCCACTTACGTCTGCTTATTAAAGTTCTTCTAGTCTTGGTCCAGATATTATTTGAAACAGCCTTTTCCTGTATTTTTATTGTTGACACTATTACAGATTGAAACAGTCTTAATCCTCTCCTCCATTAAAATCTGCTACTTTCTCTGTGCTCCTGCCTTGTGTCCATAGTTAGCTGTATACATGGCTGCCTCCATCCTTAATAGACTGGTAGCCCCGTGAGAACAAGGGTGGTGTCCTACTCGTCTCTGGGCCCCACTACACCTAGTGCCATTTGGCCCTTCGTAAGTGCTTACCGCACTGGGTTATGGTTTTGCTGTCTGATACAGTCAGTATGGCCTGTGTTCTGTCCTCTGCAGATGTGAATGAATGCCTCTCGAACCCGTGCCCACCCCTGGCCATGTGCAACAATACTCAGGGATCCTTTACCTGCAGATGCCCAGTTGGGTACCAGCTGGAAAAAGGAATATGCAATTTGGGTAAGAAAGTTTGTCTATCTTGGAATTCTTTCTACACCACAATATATTTTGCAAAGTAATACAAAAAGTAACATTGTTTTCCTTCCTAATCAAAACCAATATTTGCCCAAGGTCTAACTTCAAGGAATAGAGAAAGAATTGGCGGATGCTGCCTCTTATGCCACCACTTAGAAATATAGCACCTTATATGAAACTCTTTTAGTGTGCGTTATATTTTTACATAGTTGAAATCATATGGTATCTATACAAACTACATCGTAAACATTTTCCCATTTTATTAAAAATATTATGCAGGCTTCTTAATGATTGTATAACTGTGCCATCATTTGTGCATAACACTGTTTGCTTAACCATTCCACCCTGCAGTTAGGAAAAAATATGTATATATCAAAGGATATTCTAACCACATAGTTTAAAACAATACATTTTAGGGAGAGAGAAAAAGAGAAAACCCCTGACTGTCCTTACCAAATTCACACATTCTTTTCATTTTTAAAAACAATCTTCATGTTCTTGTCCACAGGCAGAAATATTTTTACAAAGCTATTGCTGTCATTGTACTGTTCAATTTGTCATATGTTGTTTCCTAATTTGATAAGATTCATGAAGCTGGTTGAGTTTAGATATAATCACCACTGTAAGATTAAGACGTAAACAACCCACGGGGACACTAAGGCCCGGATGAGGTGCTAAGCGACCAGGCGTATACAACTGCTAGATTGGAGGCCGGGTTCCAGCCCACAGTTCCTCCTAGCACACAGTGATTTGTCCATTGTAAGAGCTTTCTTGCACACAGTGTGTAACCCTGTGTTGGAGTCCCGAGTTCAACACATAATGAAGAAATTAGAAGCGAAGAACTTAGAGTTATTATCTAAGCTCGATAAGGAAGCTGGCAGGTAAAGTGACTCATCCTTGAATCATCTTAAATCGCCCAGTGTGATACTTAACATATGGAAAGGACTCAGTAGATAGCATTTTGAGAGAACAAATGTCTTTGTGTTTTGAAAATATCATTTGCATAAACTCTTGTTGCCTATAGGCTGCAGGGAATCGTCAGATGTTTTAGAAGGTTGTGTCAAGTGACAACTCTAAAACAATTTAGTAACGAGCTTGACATCCTTGATTCAAGAAAAACAACCCGTGGAGGGGAGCGCAGGGCCTCCTCACAAGTGGGGGAGCCCTCTCCTGTGGGGGGTGGGCAAGTGCGGGTTTTATAGAGGGTTTGAAGCGGAACTGTAGAGACAGCCTGTGACTGGCTGGGGTTGCGTGCCTTATCTTACCTTATTTAGAAAGATCAAGGCACAAGGAAACAAGTGTGGAGTCCAGGGTAGATTTGGCATGTGGGGTTTGGCTGGCTGGATACAGCAGAGCATTTATAGGAAAGTTCTGTTTGCTTACATGGCACCCCAGACAGGGGCAGCTCCATCTTGGGCCTAGAAATTTATTTCAACAGTTGCTACCCTATTAAAATAATGGTAGAATTTTGAAAATTGTTTAAAATACAAAGATCAAGTCAAAGCATTATTTAAAGAAATGAAAACGTAGTAGTATAGATAGATATCAGTCAAAATTAAGAATTCCTCTTATTCTCATAGTTTATTTGCTTTGGGGTAACTATTCCATTAGCTGCACCCTGTAAGAAATAAGCCAGGAGTTTTGGGTTTAAGAATAGAGAAGATGGAAATGATTTTGTTCTGAAGCAATGTGCAAAATCCACCTGTCCAGGAGCTCAGATGCCTGACTGCCAGCCCCAGGGCCACCACCCACAGCACATGATCCTTGAGTCTCACTTTCCTCACCTGTAAAATCAGATTACCCCCTGGTCTGCTTCCCACTCAGGGTTATTGTGAAAATCAAAGAAAATAATGTATTTGAGCAAGCTTTGGAAATGATAGCATTCAGGAACCCTCCCTGGCATAGGTTGTCAGTTTGACTCAAATAAACTTATAAAAAATTTTTAAAAAGAAAATGGTAGAGTTCTCCAGATGGGAGGCATCATTTAACATTAGTCTAATCTCTTGGGCCGCTTGGACCAGAATTGAAAGCAATGAGAATAATAAACTACTCTGAATACAAAGTAATAATTATGGATCTTTTAAAAAATCACTTCAATAACCTGTGTAACTCAACGATTACATCTGAAGTAAGAAATTGCCTTAAAGCCAGGTGAGGTAACTGCAGACTTGAAGATGTCTGTGTGCCCGGGAGGGTGCAGGGGTTGGGAGGACACTGCGTGATGCCACCTTCACATTCACACTGAAAGTTAGAGGCCACAGGAGAGATCTGTGTACTTGGCATTTAGAGCCCGTATATTTCTCTGCGGAGTGTCTGGGTATAAACCTGGACCTGTGAGATGTGAGGATGAAGGAGTGGGATGATGGTGCGGGAGTGTCCGGGGGCACCAGTACTGGGAGGAGAGCGGGTCTATTGTGTTAACAATCATCTTTCCCTTTTCAAGTCATTTAACTTCATTGTTCATAAACATCAGAGGGACATGCAAATTAGAGCATGCTGAAATGCTTTCATTCGGCCAAGAATGTTTTCAAAGAGCTCCCTGCTGCTCAAAAAGAGTCCTAAGCAGCTGGCTTCGCTGAACTGTAGAACAAGCAAAAAGATGTTAAATAAGGATTCAGGGCTTTAGACAGTAAGTATAAGATGTTAAATGTTTTCCCTGGCTCATTCGCAGGCCTTTTTCTAAATTCAGCAAGCGCGCTTTCTGTGAAAGAGCAGCTTCAGGGGTTTCTGTGTTTCGGGTTATTATTTTTTTTCCTGTTCAGAAGGGAAGATAAGAATTTAATATAAAGGAAGATAAGAGCCAGATATACAGCAGGCTATACTAATTTTTGGTTGCCTGCCTAAGCTCCATTCCCCTCAGGCCCAGTCAGCACTAATTGATGTTAACTAGAATTTTATTTTATGAGTGAAACGGGCCTTGAAAACGGGGCTGCTTTCTTTCATGTCTGAATCCAACATTGTCTTGAATATGGGTTGTTTCATTACGTGACTTATAATCATGGAGTCTGGCAACCCCCTGGAGGTTTGGAACCTTTCTCTGTAGCCCCTTGGTTGTCCTTAGAATACCAGATTCCTCAAGGGGCTGAGGGTGTAGAAGAACTTGGAAGATGGGCACACATGACATTAAATGTTCATTTTGGCCCTTGGGAGCTGTGCGACCTTGGGAAGTTACTGACTTCTGGCAGCTTCTTTTATCAGGATAAAACGGGCATTTCCTCTGAGAAAGAGGAATAGGGGTTGACAGGGGTAACTCTAGTGAGAAGAGAAAACCAAAGCGTGCCCTTGAAGGCGAGGGCTTGTCAACTTGGTGAAAGACCCAGAGGGCCAGAGCTTTCCTCTCTAAAGTGTTACAGGGCCTGATGAGCATTTTTTGTGTCTGGCCCCACGTCTCCCTGCTGGGATTATGTTGTTGTTTAGGCCAGCTCATCTTTCTTTTTCATCACAGCCTTACTGGGCATGTATTATGGGAAGACCATTAGGGAGACATCAAGGAGGCTCCTTTCAGCAGCCCCTCCCCCGACCCCCCACATACACAAAAGGCTCCTTGAAGTCCCTCACAAAAGGCTGTCTCAGTCTGAGCCTTCAGCTCAGCTCCCTGGATGCTCACTTTCCTAGAGAGGAGCCTGGAAAGGGAGAGGTGGTCTCCGTCCTCAAGGAGGAAGAAATGCACAGAGATAGATGGTCCTTTGAGGTGGAGTGAAGCTGGATGCCCCATAAATTTACAAACACAGCCTTGTGTAGGTCAACTTGCCATGTAGCCTAATAGGTTATGTTTTTATTTTCAGTTAGAACCTTCGTGACAGAGTTTAAATTAAAGAAAATGTCTCTTAATACCACCACGGAGAAACATTCAGACCTACACGAAGTTGAAAATGAGATCACCCAGACAGTAAGTTTCTGAAGGGCGTCTTCCTTCCAGTCCTTTGTTTTCCAGAACAGATTTTGTTCAGAATTGGGAACCTCCCGGGGATCAGTTATATCTCTCAGTCTGTTCATTTCTGTTTCATCTGGAAGGAAAACTTCATGGTAAAATAAAAGGCCTCTCGGAAGTAGAAGGGAGATGTTGAGAAGTAGTGGTTCCCAGTAGGAGCGGTTCTTGGAATGTGCCCTCATGTGCAGCCTTTATCCATGGCCTGGCATTTCTTTTCCATGTGCAAACTGACAGTCACAGACATGTAGATGACATGAACCTATAAAAGCTGTTGGTGAAGAGGAAAGCCCCAGAAGATCCTGCCATCCCACCTGCTGCTGACCTCTGTGCTTAGGAACATGGAGAGGATGCTCTCTTTCCTCAAGGGAATGCGAAAGGAGGAGCAGTTAATCCTGATTATCCAGGGCAGATAATTCGTTGCGTAGATTATCAGGGGCCTTTGATTCTTCTGTTCCTTTTTGCTTACTTTTTGTCAGGGCAGGGGGAAAAAAGAAAGAAAGAAAAATTAAAGTAGAGAGGAAGAAAGAAGAGATGAAAATGAAGCTCAGATAGTAAATTTTGCCTCTCAGCTGCTACCTGAGTCTAAGATTTGGTGTCTGGAAAATCAAAGTTTGCCATTAAAACAAGTTTTTGAGATCAGTCGATTTCTGATTTCAATTTTACTAGTTCTTTATGGGTGAGAGTTAATGTGTTAGCCACAACCTCTAGGAGTTTACAGGACTGTGGGTTTTATTTGCGTAGAATTTAGCTTCCAGTTCTGTTTCCGTATCGGCCGAGCATCTGCTCTGTGGCAGGTATTTGACAGGTGCCTCACTTCTGTAAGAGGTACTGCAGACACCTTTACAGGTGGTAAACTAAGAGGCTCAGGAAGTCGATGACATTGCCTGAGCTCACACAGAGCAGGTACAAAGTTAGGGAACAGTCCACCAGACCACTCTCATTTCTGACACCAGTTACAAGTTTGGGATCCCCAGACCACCCTCAAATTTAATAATTCAGTAGGACTCACAGATCTTTCCCAAAGCTTTTACACTGAGGTTATGGTTTATTACAGTGAATGGATCCAGGTTACAATCAGCCAAGGGAAGAGAGGCATGGGGCAGAATCCAGGAGGCTTCCAGATGTGGTGTTTCAGTTGTCTTCTCCCCCATGGAGTCAGGGACAGTGCTAACTCCTCTTGGCGATGATGTGTATAATAGTCACGGACTATTGCCAGCCAGGGACGCTTACCTGAGTCTTGGGGTTTACTGCCAAAACGTAGTGCTTGCTTCGTCAGCACATATACTAAAATTAGAGCCAATATGTAGACATAGTAAACTGCCCACATGGCTGACCTCAGTCTCCAGCCCCTCTGGAGGTCTAGGGGATACCATATAACTCAAAGCCCTCACCATAAATCACGTTCCTAGACTATCTGGAGTGGCCCAGTCCTCTAAGTAAACAAAGGCAGGCCATTCCAAAAGCTTAGAGATTACCTCCCAGGAGCCAAGGGCCAGGCCTCTCTTTGGGCAAGGTTTAATTCTTTATTATACAGTGGGTTTTATGTCTATTCTTATATCTTCTAGCCCGACACCAGGTGTTCTTGTCACTCCACCACACCTGCCCCTTGGTTGTGCTGTTGGTCAGTATTTCCTTCTAAGACAGTACAGGGCCTTAGAACCCTGTGCACGGGCGCAGTCCTTCCCATTCCACAGTGTTTGTGACTGCTCTGACTTGTTAAGCTTTACCCAGTATCCACGGATAATTTATTAGTGAAGTGACATCCCCACCCCAGGGAATATTAAAGATTTAGGCAGTGACTGCAGAAGCCACTCAGGTGGCCTTTCCCAGGATGCCATTCTATTCTGAAATGTGCCATGGGGGCGGGGGGGTGCCTAAGTACTAATGCTATAATAAATCATTGCTTATCAAAATATAAAGGGGTGTCATACAAGGCCACAAAGGGTCTGATGACATCCCACGTTTGAATCCATCTTCTGAAGAGTGAGATGTATCTTCCCCATGGGCTGTGAAGCCAGGTGGGTCTGCACCGGTCAAGGTATTGAGACCCTCTGCTGCATAAAAGGAATCTCCAGCCCCAATGTAGGGGGAACAGGGAAGCAGGCATGGTACTCTCTTTACTCCCTGAGGGATTTCCTGCTGTCTCTGAGGGCACAAGGCAAACACAGGCAGAGTCGCTCTTAATTTGTTCTCAACAAAAGGTTTCTTGACCCACATAATGTAATTTCCCATGGAGAGCCTGTTTGAAGAGGACCTATCTTTGAGTTAGGTCAGCTCATTGTAGATTAGGAGGGGTCCTCGCGGGGCCTGCCAGACCTGGGGCAGCTGAAAGGAACCAGCCTTTCCATGAGGCTCGTTCACTATGTGAAGTCCAAATAAACAGTTGCCTCTGAGTTTTTTGAAACCCTGTATCTTAGAAGAGATCTGCTGCTTTGAAGATGTTTTGCATCCAAGGGCGCTGTTCCGAACATCCCTTCCTGCCAAGACTTTCCCCACTGATTCACTAGCTGCCTCTCTCCCTTTGTACTCGCAGAACAACAGAATAAGCCCAGGAAGGCATTTAAGAGGGAACACAAAAAGGACACCACTCCTCTGTAAAGCCCCCTGCTGATAAGTTGATGGCTGGAAGATGCCTGTTTCATACTGAAAATAGGAAATTGGTTCCAGGTCTAAGGCTTTTGTCTAATCCACAGTTAATTTACCTGTTCTTCCTTTCAGTTAAATATGTGCTTTTCGACATTACCTGGTTATACCCGATCCACAGTTCATGCTTCTAGGTAAGTACATTGGCTTCTGAACCAGTCTGTAGAAAGGAGAGGATATTTGTACATGGGTGGCAGCAATAAAACTGGGCCCTGTTTTGACCAAACCACAGGGTGACCCAGGGCCAAAGTCACTGGATCTCATGCTGTCCCATTCCCTCACTGGACAATGGAGATGACACTCATTTTTCAAAAGCCTTGGGGCCCACATATCATTTTAGAGCAATTAAAAACCTACACACTTTGCCTGTAGAGAGCCCAGCGCCGTGGTCCTGTCACTGCAGACCACCTTCTCCCTGGCCTCCAACGTGACGCTGTTTGACCTGGCTGACGGGATGCAGATATGTGTCAACTCCTGCAGGTCCTCTGCTGAGGTCTGCCAGCTCCTGGGATCTCAGAGGCGTATCTTTAGAGGTGAGAGAATGGCCCTCCGGGAGGACCCGGCCCATACGGTTAGGCACACACCTGAAATAGAAATGTAAGGCATTCAGGGCTCAGGTCCAAGTAAAGCTCCTCAGAGAGCAGGCTGTCTTTGAAATGGATGTTAAGCAGAAGACCTTTGTGTGTGTGCACCTTTGTACATTCGTGTGGGAGGGGGCGCTTGCTCGCATGCGTGCACACACACACACACACACACACACACAGTCTTGCAGTTGCCTGCTCCTTGGCCTGCTGCCCCGTCTACTCCTACACAGGAGCTGATGTAAAGAAGCAGAAATCACTCTTCTCTCCCTTGAAAAGTCCCTGCTCTCTCTAGGGAGACAGACATTCACACGCAGAATGTACCTGCTTGTCAATACCCCAAACCCTCATTGTCATATACCATCGAGGAAAGAAAGCCTGTGCAGTATTATCGGTCATTTTTGTTTGTTTGCAAATCACCAATACACAAAAACAAGACCAGGCTGATATAGACCAGCGCCGGTGTCGTTCAGGATAATCTCCCTATTCTTGTTCCTGCTTTGTCTGTTTTGTCAAAAGCTTCTACAGTGCATCTAGATGAAAGCAGATGAAGAAAGGGATTCAAGACAAGTTTGGAAGGCAAATGTGGGTCTTAGAGGGGAGGTGTTGTCTCTGGGATGGGAGAACTGCTGGAATCAAAGTGCTTCCTTGCAAAGGGGGCTTGTCCCTGCTGCCATCTCATGAGTGATCAAAGCAGGCTCTGCTAAGCTCTTTTCTCCACACAGTTAGGATGTGGAATCTGTGTGGACCTCCCACCTGGTGCCCAGAGCGGGTTTGGTGCGTTGTCTGCTGGTAGATCCAGGACTTTCCCGCTGGGTCAGGGCTCCATGCGTGCGGGAGAGCCTGGGAGCCAGGAGTTAAGCCTTTCACTCTGGGATAAATGCCGCATCTTTGGCCTATTTCAGGGCTAGCTATGCTTTTTTTTTTAAAGTATTTTTTTTTATTGTTGACAGTATTATAGGTGTCCCCTATTTTCCCCCCACTTTCCCCCTCCACTGAGCCCCTGCCCCACCCCAGGCCTTCACCACACTATTGTCAGTGTCCACGCGCTATGCATATATGCATGTAAGTTCTTTGGTTAATCTCTTCCTGTCACCCCCTCACTCTCCTCCCCTCGGAGATCTGCCAGTCTGTCCCATGCATCCATGCCTCTGGCTAAACTTTCTGAAGTTGTAGTTGCTATCATTCAGCATCATTGGGGAATTAGCTTAAACATTCTTGCCCCAGTAGGCTGTGCTCTAAACTCTGAGGCGAGAGCTCTTAGGTTTTACTTTGTTTTTTTTTGTGATTCAAGCGTCCCAGTTTGCCCTCCCCAGCGAGTAGGAAGGAAACCTTTCAATTCACTGAACACTTACTGAGTACATCCTATGTGGTCGGCATTGTGTAAGGTTACTTTTTTTGTCCCCACTAAATGCATTTCGTGCCTTTCAGGTCACGTGGCCAGATACTTGGCTTGGTAAGGCCCTGTTCAGAGCAGCCCTGCCCACTCTCTGACTCCCACTCTCCCAGCTTGGATGTGTGAGGCTCATGGGAAAACTTGTTTTCCTTGCTGAGGTCCCATTCTTTTTCTTTTCTATTTTTTAAGACTTGAATTTTTTTTAGAGCACTGCAAAATTGAGACTAAGATAGAGAGAGATCCCACATACATAGCCCCTCATCCTCACACGTGCTGGTCCCCATGCTTCACCTCCCTTCAGAGCCTGTGAAAACAAAGACAGCCAGGCATCTGGGCTCAGTGCAGGCTCACTTCTCTATTCTGAATTCCAGGTTTTGCCAACACACCCAGCTTGGTCTATCGCTCACCTTTCTGAGTGCTAGGGAGGCAGGCATGACTAGCAGGAGCTCTCAGGCTGACATCTGGGGGTTTCCAGCATCTAGGCCATGCCCGCTACTCTGGATGCAGCCATTGGGAAGGCAGGTTTTTACCCTTCAATTCACAAAATACCTACTTCCTGGCCTTTTAGAACCCCACAGCTCTCGTGTCTCCAGAGGTTTAGAGTCCTTGGAAATCCCCCTGGTAGTGTCTCAGCCTTGGATTTATGTAAGTTCTCATTGTCTGGCGGATGTTATGCCCAGGAAGGACCATGGGAACTGTGGATGTAGAAAAATCACATCGCCAGGCTTCAGATGAAAATGGGATTCTGCATGGTTCCATTTGATGGATTTATGGTAGACTGCTCTTCAAGGAATTTTAGGATTGCAACTCCTCTTTTGCAGGGGCAGAGAGCCAGGGCCAGGGCCAGCTTCCCTTGTGTCCCCATGAATCTGCTTCTGTGCAAGGAAGGGTTGCTTCCACCGGGCGAGTCGTTTTCTAGCGCTGGATTAAGGGGCAGGATGAAAGGAAAACATGACATTGGTTTCCAGAAAATATCTAATCAGACCAGGCACCTTAGGCTGGCTGCTGGACAAGGCTGGTGCTGGACAGGCAGCCTTTGGCCCTGGAGGTATTTCTTCAGATTAAGGCTCGAGGACTGGCAGCACCTTCAGAAAGTATAGATGAGGGATTGCAGGGTTTTAGAACCTCTCTGGTGCCAGCTTTGCAGTGTTTGCTCAGTGAGATTTTCCATTTTTTATTTTTCTCCCTTAAATACAAACTTTTCACAATAAACAAAGGAAATTCTATCACACACACAAACAGGGTTCTGACTTAGCACATCAGCTTCCACTGATAAAGACAGGAAGCTCGGCATTGAGAACTAAAATTGTGTCCTAAACTTACCTCCCTGTGACCAGGCCATCCACCAGGTCCCAAGCTCTCAGGTCTCAGAAAAGGAGGCTGGTGCTGGGACCCCC